CAAAGGTTAAGTGAAGCGAGGCCAAATTGGCTAAGTGAACCACACCTCAGTGAGAAAAGTGCGCGTGCAAGAAAATGACCGGGTGCCACTGGTGCTTATCGATCGTTGCGATCGGAGATGGATGGAAGGACCAGGGCCTGTGAATGCAAAACATTAAATTGTTTGAGTTACACTTGAGATTTTTACTCCCGGGAGTACCGCATGTTATACAGAAATACTGAAGTTGTACGGGATGTGCCAAATGATTTGACGATACAGGCACATCGGTTACGCCTTTTTAACTGAAATGTGAGCTCTGGTGCTTTCAAAAGTTATACACAATACAGTAAATCGGTTACACCTTCTCCAGTCAACATGTGTTGCAGCATGCAATACCCACACCTTATTTCTTAACCAAGCTTTGCAGCACCAACATTTATAGGAAATAATTATTTCCAACAATCGTTGACTTCAAAATATCTCGATACTTTTTGATCTGATTCNCGGCGTGGCTAAATTTCGTGCGTTGAGGCCAAAAGATTACGGATTTTGGCTAAAGGAATGTAGGGCCTCCGAAATTCTCAATATGGTCGGGGGTGGTTGTCTAGGGTTGCGGCTGGTCACCGTTCCCTTGCACCTCGCAAAATGCTCCCATACGACCAAGCGTCTCAAACAGCCTTTGCTGAGGAAGTCCTAATCACTGCCTTCTCGTGGCGCTGGTGTTACCACCAAAGTGAGAGGACGAAAAGCCGACATCCGGGGCTATAATCGGGTTGGTGAACCGCTGGCAGTTTACCTAGGGGAGTTGGCCAAAAACCCTGATTCTAAACCAACCAGGAGGAGGCGTACGAACCACACCCACGCCTACCCGGTTGTGGCCGTGGTCGCCGGCTCGATTGGTCATCGAGGTGTATTGGGCACTTTGGACGTTTGACCCCGTCCGAAAGGGATTATTATCCGATGAAGTGGACACCGGCTCCCAGTGGATTGCGGTTTTCGCACACCGCTCCGCTGCCTTGCGGGTCACGCTTTGGTTAGCCCAAGGCTCCGATTGTGTATTCCCCAATAAAATTCACCTGCGTTGGCCTGGGCAACCTGGCAGTATTCGGTCCACTTG